ACTTCTATGCAAGTGTTTTTTTAGGCCCCGTCCATACTATGCCGGATAAATTTGAATCCGAATTTTTATTTATTCGGTTCCATTTCGAAAATTCGTTTTCGGTGAAGAATCGTTCCGGATTCGCCCGGACTAGTGTGGACGGTAGGCCTAACCGAATAAATAAAAAGTCGGATTCAAATTTATCCGGCATAGTGTGGACGGGGCCTTAGGCTGGTTCAGTACGAAGTGAGCTCGTTTGGCAACATAAAGCCCGCGCATAGCAGGTCATCTTGATTCCTAATGGTCAATTTTCAGAGACGTCAGCCGTTGTAAAACGCTTTGCTATTGACTGAAGCGGATCTCGTTGGCATTTAACTGGGTTCCAGATATTTGGCGCCACTTGTTCAGCACTCGCTGCATGGACTTCATGGAGGTAGGTTGAATAGAGACTTCGTGCCCGCAGAAATAGCTAATTCTGACCAAAACATTTACGAATACTAGATTCTTTAATGACTAATTCTTTTATGAGTTGGATTTTCTAAAAACGATAAATATTTCTCTTGTAACTTGGAAAGGAAAAGGTTCTCCAAACGCCTGAAGTTTTTGAATTTCGCAAGGAAGGCCACGCTTGTGCGGCAGAATATTGAGACATTCACTGAAGACCTAATTTCATAAATATGTTATTTAAAGATTAAGTAAGATTAATCAAGTAAGATTAAGTAGGCATTTAATTTTAATAGGAAAAATAATTCATTCATTGCTTTGTCACTCTCGAGAATGATGCTTTATGGGCATCGAAGCTCGAAGGCGTCGAGCAAACTAAATCTTGTTGTCATATACTTTGTGATTAAAAATTATTAAAATTCGCTATTTTTAAAACTTCCACTCGTAGTGTTAACTTTGCTATCCCTTTTGCTATGTATTGAAGACATTCCTTGACAAATCAAGCTTTTTCCTTAAGCTGTTGACAAGCGCCATTTTGAATACCACAGGGGCCCCAGCAATGAGCTCATGGAACATGTACATCATGTACTGTTACAGTACATGATGAACATATATTTGTAGTTTTTATCGGAATTGATCATGATCGCATGTTGGCATGAACCAGAAAATTAGTAGTTAACAGTTAACGGATATTTCATTTTTATTTTGGTTAAATTTATAATCAGCACTGTAAAATTACTAACAGTTGGGACCAAACGTTTTTTCTTCGATTGCACGTTACGTCCTCGCGGCCATGTTGGTGCCATTTAACAAAAAAATTCTCATTAGCATCCATTGTTAACAGCACCACAATGGCCACCATGTTTTTGTCTTTAAACTCTCTTGGGAATACTTGCAACCCATCAATTCTGTTGCAGTGGGGAGGGGGGTTCTGAAAAAAGAAACCGTACGATTTGTATCCCCCTAAATATATGTCAATTTAAAATGTACCCCCTCTTTTTTCTTCCATATTTAGAAAGCTCAGTTAAGARTCATTTGAAATTGCAAAAAATTTACCCCCTACTTTCAGTTGATTTTGAAAATTGCATCCCCCCTCTAAAAGCACCACCCCCTATGACACAATAATTCATTCATTGGCTCCCCAAAAGTAACTGACCTTGGGATTAAAATTTATAACTGACAATCGGGTAATCCCATCGACAAACCCCTAATAATGTTGATTGTAAGACTTTCCTTTGCTTTATTATCCATGTTTACATAATAACTAATTTACTTTTTTTCTTCTTTTTAGCACCCATTGCAAGACCATCCCAGTGTCCATTTGAAAACCAATGCTACACTAACCTTGCGAAAGTGTAACGTTGATYGTCGAGCCTTGTATACTTGAATAGGAACCACAACCGATCCCCATTTAAACCAGTGAGCATTATGCTACTGATGACCCGAATGGCATCACCCTACAGCATCTGATGTCTCGTCATGAAGGGGTGAAACCGGTCTGTACAATTTGATTGTTTAATAGTAATTTATTCTCACTGAATACTCATAATCATGTCGCAGTAATTAAGTTATGGGGTGAGATCAAAATCTCCGAACTACATTACGCAATAAGTCTAACAAGACATGTGTGTGAAGTTAATTTATACTTCTCCGTGCTATTTAATTATGCAGCGAGAATAGTAACTGATTGGGCAAATGATTAAGCTTCCATTTTGACAAGGACGAGTTTTATTCGATGCCACTTTTTGGCGTTAAGATTTCTTTCCTATCTATTTCCGATCTTCGAATTTAGGTCTTGGATCAATATAATTTCATTGTTTGCGTTATTCTTTTTTTGGATTCATACGTATTAAGGTCCGATTGGCTTTTTCTTCGATTTTTTTGCGTTCTTAAGTTCGCCTTTTTCCGCGGATTAAGGTTACGTTTTCCTGGAGAGATCGTCCGCCGAATTTCCCCAGACTGCAAAATAACAAAATCTAGAGTTCGGTTCTCTCGAGATTCGTCGGGCCTTTTTTGTTCGTTAGTATAAAGTCCTTTGGATGGCTTTATGGAATCCGATCAACTTTTGATCATTCTGGCTTTTCCTTTTTCGAGGCTTTTCTCTTTATTCCGGCAGAAAGGATTATTGGCTTTTCTAGAACAGGGTCAATTGTAAAAATAGCATCAAAGAGTGCTCATGATGGGGCGCGTGGATTCCTTCTCTTAATTCATTTTCTCTTGTGTGAGCTGTTAGCTGAAGTTTTTAATATTGAAAATTGACAATTACAAAACTGTAGATTTGGTAATAGTTTTTGAGGACTGGATGTGATTCCCAGCTGACGGGATGACTTTTTGTTTAAGACTTTCCCGCTATATTTTCGTGTCTGATATATCTCTTACCATCAAAAAGTAACGAAATATGGCTTTGCCTTTCCACCCGTTGTTTCTTCGGCAATGACAATAAGAAGCGCTAGGTTTTTACAGCGTTGGTCAGTAGACGTATATATATATACATGCGTCTATTTTAAAATTATTTTCAAATCCATACATATATACATGGCTCGAAGACAGATATTTCTATCCTCATGCAGAGTGATATTCCTGGGTTCTTATGGCGTTGGGTAGTAGACGTACATACATGCATGCGTCTTTTCTTTTATTCTCAAATCTATATACATATTTACAAAATAACTGTTCCAAATCTCGCTTTCTGGTTGTTTATGAGAGCACACAGCACGCGACCGCACTTCCAGTTTCTTCATTCCTGTAATTTGTATTTTTATAAAAGAAATAAAAAACGCGCGCGCGTGCTGTGTGCAGTCATAAAGAGAAGAACGAAGAACGAGAGAAGTGTAGGAGAAACACGACGCGTAGCACGCGCGTTTTCTATTTCTTCGACACATAGCTCAAAGACAAATAATTCTATCTTCATGCAAATGTGATTTTCCTCATTCATGGAGGACCGTTTAAAAATTGTATCAACTAAAGGAAAACAGAGGAATTCCTCAGATATACTCCTTCAGGCTATATTACATGCATCAGTTAAAGTCGCAACCCCGGCACTAGGAGACATATAGCAAGGACTATGATCGAATCATGCATAGTTACTTTCTGTCTACTGTATTTTTGAACGATTTCTGCTGAAGATTAAAGTTTTAGGGTTTTTCTCTCTTTTTAGATATTTTTTTGTTTCTTTTGTTTATTCGTTGTTGCGATAAATAGTTTTTTTCGTGCAGTTTACTAGCTTCTTGAAGCCGGAACATTACGTTGCGACTGACAACGATGAAGATTTGGATCACACGGACGTTTGCACGATGGCATCATTGACCTCTACTACCAGACTCCCTTGCACGCTTTCTTTTGTTCAGTTAATTAGCACCAATTGTCTTACTATTCTCATGAGGGAATACAAATTTAAATAAGAAAGAAAATTCGCAAAGCATCTTGGTAGTGGTAGTCAAATGACGCCATCATGCAAACGTCCTATTCGTGACTAAAAAAGTATCATGAAGTTCAGTTCTTTGATATTTATACAACATGCAGCGGGGACTAAATTTTGATTCTGAAACAGCAATCTTTTGTTTTTAACTTTGATTTTATAAAAGTATACTGGAGGAAAACTTGATCAAAATTGAAGATTCAAAAGCAAAGGGCTTTCCTATTTCAATCAGAAGGTGACATCACTTATCTGTATTGGCACCATTTCAATCTTCTCAACAGTATTGTTTGACGGCTGAAAGTGTACGTAGGGGTCTATTTATGGTTCATTCGTTAAGGGTGTGTATTTCCCATCAAGACTTTCTTTTCATTTATCGTCGCGTATTGTGTTCAGAAATCAAGGGTTGCATGTGTAGCAGGTAGCACCACTCGCCTCTCGCCCCACTCTCGGGTTCGTTTCTTGGACTCGGCATCATATGGTATATATACGTAGAGTTTGATAGGTCTTGTCATTGCAGTTGGATTCCTTTGTGTATTAGATGTTGTTCCTAGGGTTTGTTTGGGCCTCTTAATCTTTGCTTCAGAAGGCCATCCTTTTATGGTTCAGACTGGGTGTTGTATTTTGTTTATTCATTGGGTATCGGGGTTCCTTTGTTTTTAGAAAGTTCAATTATCATCCTAAGCATTAAAAGAATATAAGAAACAATTAATCACCTGGTATAATGGCTGCTAAACAAATGTTTTTTTCCATGTCGACTGAAGGTAAAGAAATGTTTTTATTACGTTAATTTATTCGCATTAAATGTTATTATATCAACCAACATCGCGGCAATGTCATGCTTCTTTTCTACATCATTCGTATAGGGATGACTGCAACCCACTTAAATCAAAAACGGAGACATAAAGAAAACAAAAACGAATTATTTAAAGAAAATCGTTTTCAGTTCTTTTGGAAAAAATAAACAATCTTCGACTTCGAAGAAGTAGCTAAGGTTACCGCTGACACACATCACATACGTCATTTTGATTTTAAATACGTTTGTTTTAACGATCCTGATACAAAATTAATTGTCTTAGAAATGATAAAAAGGTAAATTATACACCGTGAAAAGATGAAAAAACTTACTAAACTAACTTACTTAGTAAGTTTTTTTCATCTTTTCACGGTGTATAATTTACCTTTTTATCATTGCTGTTTCATTAGAAACGCCTACGCAACTCACACTAGTTTTTAGTTAGTTATCTCTTCTAACTGTCTTCGAGCAAGCATAATACATAGAAGTAGACATTAAGGCGGTTTCGATCAAGTATGCGCGTTTTAGTGTGGACGCGCATGTGCAAAACGCATTGAAAACATGGTATGTGTTTTCAAACGAAAACGTTCAAAACGTACGAAAACGGGGCCTAATTCCACCGTTTTCTTTCGTTTTCATTTGACCCTTGGTCACTAATTATACAGCTTTGTTTCACTGACAAAATAAAATAATTCCAGTAGTTAATCCCAAGCTCTATATATCCAGCATTCCAGTGGGGTTTTTTTACGTACCTTGTTCCGTAGGCGAGAAAAACAAGCGCAATGCATATGGCCACCGTTGCGTCTAAAAACCAAATAGCACTGGACTTTTCATAGAGTAGCGAAGCCAGTAGCATAGCAAATGCCATGATACCCCCCGCTGTTGTGTTGAAAGCTGCGAGGAAATGGTTTCAAAAATTGTTAATTTTCTATTCATGGTCCAAGTATAGAGTATAATCAGTGAATGGAGACGAGGCTGATTTGGAAAACGAGTCGTGGATGAAATTTCGGGCTCACTGTTTGGTATGCAAAATACCTATGGTTTCGAAAAAATTCTAAAATCTGCTACAAAAGTGCAGAGAATATATGTATATATATACACTCGATTGCAGAAACGTTGTAGTATACATTTATACATTTATACATTTATACAAATACCTAATGAGATGCACATTGCAATTTTACTTTTTTAACCCTCAAAMCCAATTGATTTATAGTCCGTAGGATGTAAAACACAAGAATACAATATTTTGATGTTCATTGAATGAAACAAATAATAAATAAAGCGAGTTTTCTGCTTTGCATATCATTAAGTATACTGAATAAATTAGGTATTTGTATACTACAACCTTTCTGCAATCAAGTGTATATATATATATATACGGTCATTTATTTTAAGCCCAAGAAAAATGCGTATTCTACTATATATTAACCAAATGCTTAAAGTTTGTTTTAGCTGTGTGTAGAACTTTTTGTAATGTGCTAAAATGCTTTTTTTCTGATTGAAACCTTGGACGTGTTAGATGCGAAATTTTCCAGCCGCCATGTTTGTTTTCTTAGGCAATTTAGCGCATGCGCGTACGTTCTTCAGCCCCTTCATGTTGTGAATGGCTAAGTTTGGTACTTTGATTGTATGAGCACTCTTTCTCGTGTTAGAACTACTATAGAACCTCTGTTCTTAAGCGATCACTCCTTGAGAATGTGACCACTTAATAGAGGTCCTACTGTATTACATACCCACCGGCGTATGTGTTTTTGTTTGCAAAAAGTATCGGTATCTAGTATCGGTTCGTGCAAGGCCCTTACCGTCTGTCCTCAAGGTCATACTGTCTGTTTTATATGCCACTAAATATTTGATGTGCGCCATTATAAAAAGAGCAACGAAACTGGCTGCTGTGAGAATTAAAAGACTCTCGTTCTGTAGGGAAAAAAGTAGAAAATATCACTTAAAGGTATTCATATTTGGTTCATTTATGTAGTAAAACCATGAACATAAAGCCAAGGGTCATCCTACTAGTACTGCAAGGCTAAATGTATTGCTTTTGGTGTCTCCAGGATAAGAGAAAGAAAGATGTACACCCATCTAGCATTTTATTTTAAATGAATGGGCCATAGGTATTAAATGTGCTATTCTGATTCAAAAGGGAGTAGAAAATGCTTCCGCAAAGAGTATTACAGGAAAAGAGAAACAGTGGTATTTAAGCCAATTACGATGTTATCGTTAACGCAAAGGTGCAGTCATTTTAGCTCAGAGAAACTCATTTGGATGCTCATGTTGTTTAAGGATTTTTAATACGTTCTTGACTCTACCATGGCGTTAATAATAGTCTTGTTAATGAATTTTTTCCCCTCGCAATGAACAGCGAAAAGTGTATTAGGTTTCCGTTCCACCCCCACCCCC